GGTGAAGAAGTAGTAGACATCTTGGAACTATAATTTTTCCTAAAGGTAAACTTTTTTAAATTAGTAAAAAGAAGATAGATTTTTTCCACTTGAATCAGCTTTACTGTTTAACTTAATTTTCAGCACAGAATAAAATAAAGTAAAAAGTAAATAATTTTAATTTAAACTGTAAGGATACAATTTAAAAAATTTTTTACACAAATAAAAAAACAAGGCCAGAAATAGACAATAAGAAAAGAACGGTTTTCGAGGGCTTCTCTCACTTTCGTAGTATTCGAAATGGTAAATTTTTTTATTGTTAATAGAAAACACAATTTAGAAAACATTAATTTATTGATTCGTTAATGCAAGGTAAAAATTGACAACGATTTTGCGCAGAAATTTCGTCTATATTACTTGCTTGACTTGAAAAAGGAATGAGGAATGATGTCTCAGCTCCTTGTTCCGTGATAAATTATGAGCGTATGTTGAACTCTTAAGTGTAGGATCACTACAATCTGGCTTACTTTCATCAGTAGTGTTAATTTGGTAAAACCTTTTACTAATGTTTGTCCCTGTCCTAAATATATCGGATCTCGTTCCTTACCATCTTGTCGCCCCATTTGGGACTCATACTGAATCCACGATGGCATGGTATGAAATAGTATTTTAACAACCACAGATCGAAAAGAGTAAAAAATAAGAATAATTTATCAGGAAAATTCTGTTTATTTTCCGAACAATGACACAATAAAACTATAACAATTCTAATAACCATTGTTATTTGCAATTCTATTAATACCCATTGTTATTTGAGTTGTATTTGGTTCCAGCTGATTACATTTATGAATTCAAAGACAATCGCACTTCTACCATCAGATGGAGGTAAAATGTTCATCTCCGAATCCACTTTTGATAAAATTCGCAATGAGCAGCTGGAATCTGTGATCGAAAGTCGAGAAGATTCGCGAATACTGAAATTTCCATACCCAACTGAAGTTGTCGCTCGGGTCGTTAAGTGAGATAACCATAATATACTATATTTTAGTAAATCAAAATGAAAATATTTGCATTCTTTAAATATATTTTATATTTATTTTGTAGCTATTTGGGTACAGATGACCCTCAGATAAAATCTTTGAAAAATGGTTTCCATTTGTACCATCTAAGCAAAGAATACGGAATTAAAATATTAAGCATCAAGTGCCAAGAGTATATTGTTGAGCAATTAAGCGAGAAAAACGTCTGCTTAATTCACGATTTCGCCTGCAAAATGAATCTCATTCAGATACAATATCATTGCTGGAATGTTTTCGATTCGTATTGGCGAGAGATATTCGAGGGAGAAGATTTCAAATCCTGCGGGACTACCACAATAGACAGACTGGTGTCTCGTCCATTATACACAAGTATGAGTGAAGTGGATATATTTTTGGCCGTCTACAAGTGGATCGAAGAGAAGACTAAAAGAGAAATGGGAACATCATTTGCTGAAATGGACGAAAACGCAAAGAAACAAAAATATCGAGAAGAAATGCAACCTTTTCTTAAAAAAATTAGATTCTTAGCAATGGACAAAGTAGAATTAATAAATGATATATTCCAACTCCATTTGTTAACAAAAGAAGAAGAAGAATCCATTCTCATCTGTATGGAAACTCAAAATTTCTCTAATTATCCGAGGTATTTCAGCAAAGATTCAAACAAGAGATACAGAAATGAATATTCAAATTACGCATCTCTGTTCGACTTTAAACATATAAAAGAATCTCCTCGAGTAACCGAAAAAAGTAAAAAACCATTTACATTTTTCAGCAGCGAGATATTAGTAAAGGAAGATTGCTTCGTCAATACCCTTAACCTTCCCATAACTGTTAATTGTGAACGCATACCAATAAAAATTTATGGCTACATAAATTCGGTACAAAATGGTGTTTTACATTTTAATTCTCTCTGCAACTCCAAAGGAAATGTAAAATTGGAAAATCCCATATACGTTGGAAAAAATTCGTCTTGTCGCCTGTCCGTAGTTTTTGAACAAGAAGATTGGATCGATAACAATATAAAATTACAATTACCAACAACAGATATTTTCTCTACACCCGAAGGATCCGAGGGGGTGTTATTCGAACAGAAGTTAATTAAAAATGGGATCATTGAAAAAGAAAGCGATAATTTTGCCTTCCTCGTTTACTTATATTTTTGAAAACCATCGATATATTTTCTCACTTTTATAAATTAGAAATAAGTAATCTGAAAATTAATTTGCAAACTCCATATTACTTTATAATATTAAATTCAATCTGATTAATTGTTTAAAATTTGTTTCCTTGAATAAAATATTAATTAACAATTTATAAAGAATACTTTTAAGATGATTTTTCATTTTTAACCAGCCTGAAAATGATCATTCAGAGGGTTTTTTTCAGGTCCATTGTGGGTTCGGGTCAGACAATACCGAAACAGACCATCCCCGAACAGACCTACTTCTCTAATGATATGTAAATCGATTTCTGTCTAGGTTAATAAACACAATTACATTTTTATTCTATAGAAATTATATCAATCGGATTGGCTTGATGGAATAAGGCAACGGAACCCGTGGGCAATCTGCAATGAGGGCCTTCAGGGAGTACTTACTACGGGAAACTGGACTTTACATAGGTATTAGAATGTGAAGAAATTTGTGAACGATGACTACATTACTCGTAATGGGTTCGATCAGTAAGAGTAACTGGGTACGGTGCTCCGATTCCTACGTACATTGCAAATTATATAAGTTAGAAACGGAAATCGAAACCGGGTCCACGGCGGTAGATTAACAGTTTAATATCGTATCAAGCGTATATATGAGAGAAAAATTTATTTCTTCTTCTAACACAATAAGATGCTATAAATTAAGACACTTGGCGGTTTTTCTCATCTTTATTTAGTTGATACGTGTGAAAAAATTACACGTTGAATTGATTTTAATTTAAAAAATCTGACTCTTATTGCATTTCATTTGTTTTATTGGTATTATTCCTTCATTTAAATCACTATCCATCCACGTTTCCTACTAAATAAAATTATAATTCGTGTTTTAAGATAATAAAATATAGGAAAAAAAAATATATATATTTATTTCGTTGTATTTTTTGCAAGTTTTGTGGTGTTAGTGTTCTCGAACCGCTAGACGTCACTAGTTCGCGCTGTCTCCATTACACGTGACTACAGCACATGCTAATTCACGAGAGTCAGTTTGGATTTGTCATTCCTTTGGTTCAGTTGCTTGCTTTTTTTTACTCCAGGTAAGTACGTGTGTTTTTAACATCTTATAAATAGAAATGTTTACTTAATTAAACTTTATGGGCCCTTTTTTTCTAATTTTGTTCTCTTAAGACATTTCTCAAGTAGAAACTACTCAGTTGTTTTATCTTTTTAATCACATTATATTTATTAACCCAAACTGCATCTAATGAATATATATATATATATGATATAGTCTAGATGTTTATCTTTTATGCACTTACACAAAAGCATAATTACCCAAAAATATGATGAATACAGTTAAAGAAATTTACAAATTTTGTTTTTTTTGAAAGATTAGATGATAATCATAGGCAATGCTTCTTTCAAATCAAAAAAACAAAATATAATTTTATCAATCAATCATTTATAAGAAAGCATTTGTCATTTAAAACTAATTAGCGCTATGCCTTCTGCTTTTTCAGTTTAATCATGTCATAATATTATGATAGTATATCATATGATTCTTAAAATATTATTTTAAGAATAGTATATCATATGATATACTATCATATGATTCATTTACATTCATATTATTTACATTCTTAAAATATTATTTTAAGAATGTAAATAAATAAATATTATACAGAACAAATAAACCAGGCAAAAGGAGGATATATCCTGCTTATTCATATCCTCTTAAGTTATTCTGAGTATGAGAAATCTCTTCTTTAACAAAACAATTTAAATAAGCTGCTTTATGTGGAAAGGAATGAAGGAATAATCTTTAAAATTTATATCCTGAACTTATTAACGAAGAAAGAATGTCAAGGATAAGTCAATATATGTGATATCATCCATTTGTTTGTAATGAATTAACTCCGTGTTTTCTGTTTCACTTATATTTTTTTAAATTCTGGCAATAATAAAACAAAAGACGACAAAATACCACGCCCCTATTCATTTTCCAACCATGGTATATTTACAACGATTGTGTTCCATCACGTGATTCGGAACACACTCCTATCAACCAAAGATTTGCTACATAATTAATATAGTCCTTGTAGACAAGACTTTACAGAGATTAAGTATAAAAAACGGGAGCACCAAATGACAGGTACAATATTGTTTCATAAAGTAACTTTCTTAAGGGAGTGATATTTCCTTTCATTTGTGTTTTCCATAAACGAGTGGATTGCAAATGCATTTAGTGCATAATCCCATTGCACATTTTCTCTCGTATAAATCAGAATAAACATATGCGAGTGTTACTTGTAAGCAACAATATATACGAGGAACTAAAAAGCTTTTTCTACCCGTTGCAACGCTCAGACTTTAGGGGTGTAGCAGTGCCCCTGCTGGCCACTGCGAGAAACCGTTTTGTCCCNTTCAATTTGACAAATTTAATCTCTTAGTGATTCCCCGTGTTGTTATTCGGCAGTTTGCTTCAATCGGTACCTTTTATTTTGTTTTCATTGGCTTCAATTGGCCATCCATAACGTGGTGAATCTTCAATACTGAAATTGCCAGAACGAAATTTTTTAAACCAATTTTGGCACTGTTGTTCTGTCAACACATCTCCACCATACGTCACATGATTTTTTTCTTGCTTGAACGGCATTTTTATTTTTTTAATAATAAAAAAGCAAAATATGCCGAAAATGCCGCTTTCGATCTTCCATATTTGATGAGACACAAAAAATAAACAATTGCACAAAGTCAAACAAAATTTTTTTACAAATAAACCTTAAAATGCTAGCTGTCAAAATATATAATGATAATAAACGTTTAATTTTACAATCTTACTTGTTTCAGAGCCATTTCTTTAACATCCAACAGTTCACTATTAAGAGCAAGAATCAACTCAGGTGTAAACTGCTTTATAACTATATTTGGAGAAATAGAATCCAAAAGTTTTGATAAAAAGTTGATTACAGCTTCCTGATCATCTCTGTTGTAAAATAAATAACGAATTACCATAAAAATTATAAATTTAAATGGGCGAAACATAATGTAAACAAACAAAATGGCTTACTTTTGTCTTGGAGGATTTTGAACGACGTAACGAATTAAAGGCGCGATTTGATATTCCTGAACAATATTACTGACGTCAGACTGAGGAACTGAAGACATGAGAAAGTTAATCTCTTTCATAATATTCAAAGAACTTTCTGGAGACGAATGAAATTGAGACATAAGTGAACGTATCTGATCCTTCAGTGACAGCGCCATTTTTGAATTTTCAAGTGTTGCCACCTAAACTGTATGAAATCCATCGATTTAAAAGTTTAGTTTCGGAGAGCCGTAGGCCATTGTGAGATGTAACTCTCCAGGAATTAGTTTGTTAAACATGCAATAGGGCTAACAAAGTTCACAACAAAACTCCAATGTTGCCACAGAAGTAGCTGAAGCAGTGGTGTTTCTCACATCTATTAGCCATCTCTAGTAAATTGGAAAACGGTTGATTTTTAGCATTGTTTCAAAAAACGGATTTTAACTTTGTCACTTTTAAATTTTATCCCATTTTTGTGGTCTTCAAAATTTATCAAGGATTTCCTAGACTTCTTTTATGAGCATGATCTACAGTTCTGATGTGGTCCCAACTGTCTCATTCAGAGCTGCATTTGTGCCCCCAACTTTTTTCAAAACTAGGGCCCAACTAGCTTGTTGGATCCCACTTTTGATTCTGTATACAAATCCATAGCACTGTATGGCATATACAGTATACAGAGAGATGTAATAGAGGAAGCAGTGAGCTTGTACTTTTGGTGATGAAGGAGCAGAGTTCAGCAGCATAGAACACAAGCTCCACTAAGCATAACCACCCAAAGATAGGTAAGCACACAAGGTTTAAACAAAAAGTTGTATCCCTATCTGGATTTTCTGACATAACCAAGTGATATTTACAACAGATAGTTACAGAGCATAATTGATTGCCGTCGGGCGGCCCAAATGGTCTTCCACTGCAAAAAGCATTTCCTGGATTGCATTAGTTGGAGTTTTGGCTACATGACAGTGGGCAGCTAGACATTGATGACACCANGGTTCGAGAATTGGGTAAAACCCTCGTACAACATGAAATGTAATAAATTTTTACATACTTAAGTAATAATAGTTCACGAAAATTATTATTTTTGTGACTATTAGTACTTAAGTATGTAAATTTTCTTTTTTTGCCTTCTGTCAATACACATGGTCCTTCTCGAAACGTGTTTCAATGTTGCCACATCTTGATGCTTCTGCTTCTGATGTTGTCAGATGTTTTTCCCTTATTTCATACTTGCTTTATTCTTCATAAGTGCTTAGCACCATATGAGGAAGTTTATAAAAATCTTTTAACTAGAAGCAAGCAATCTAAAATTACATACATTTTGCAAAAGGTAAAGCATGGATCTGAAGATAATGCAGAAAAATGCTCAGAGGATAAGGTTAACTTGCCATTTTCTTTTTGGCAAGTTATCCTCGGTTAATAGAGCTTTTAGTGATAATGAAGAAAATATTATTTAATTTATATTAATATATATCACTTAAATATCTTTATTAAAATTTTCTTATCTTAATTATGAAAATATAATAGCATGTTTTTTAATTTTTGGAACCTAACCCTCCTTTTCGTATTAGTTCTTTGTTTCGTATAACACGGATTCGCATAACACGGCAATTTTTTGGAACGTAACTACCGTGTTATACGGGGGTTACC